CGTCATCACAGAACCCGAACCATGAATCGAACTTTGCACTATGTACTCTAAATGGCGCCACAAACGTGACCCAAGTCGCTAAGACGTCATCACAGAACCCGAACCATAATTAAATATACGTAGCGATTTCGAAACGACTCGGAACAATCCCTTCCACGCACACTCCATATTACAGGAACCTGTAATTCCCCGAACCATAATTAAATATACGTAGCGATTTCGAAACGACTCGGAACAATCCCTTCCACGCACACTCCATATTACAGGAACCTGTAATTACCCGAACCATTCCTGTCGATCAATTGCAAGAATTCACCACACTCACGACAGATGGCGCCATGATGTTTGACAAGATGGCGCCGACGACGCATCCACCTTCGTGTCAACGGCGGCGCATCCATCACGTGTCAAGAATGAAAGATTGAGGTTATGGTCGGATTTTGGTAGTCATACCCCTGTTGCTGTACTACTCACCAAATATCTATGACGACATGAAAGAAAATTCAGACAGGTTTGATACTTCTAATTACTCGCAGAATGGCCTGCCTATAAATCAATCCATCTTAGGTAAAATGAAAGATGAGTATACAGGCAAGATCGTGTGCGAGTTCTATGGAATCGGGGCGAAGGCGTATTGTGTTAATGTGGAAGGTGAACTCACTAAAAAAGCCAAAGGCGTGCCTGACTACGTCACCCAGAAAGAACTTAGTCTTGACGATTACAAGGGTGCAGTTGATATAGAAGGTACGCTTATCCATCGGCAAATGAATACTTTCCGTTCGCATAAACATGATATGTGCATCGAACTTAAAAACAAGGTAGCCTTATCTTACGAGGACAACGTTACGTTATACCCGGTACAGAGTACACGCTCGCTTGGGGACATAGATGGAGATATAGAAATGTATAAGGAATCATCGGAAATTCCTGTGAGTCAAGACTGATTAAGGCAGCTTTCTCAGCTTTTAAGTTTTTGGTAGCGGTAGATAAAAGAGAATGCTTTAAGAGGGTTATATAAGTTTAAGGTTTTTAGGTTGAGATTTATATATTATTATTTTTATCCGACAATCCGATGTCCAAAGGTAAAGGTAAAATGTATCACCTTTCAGTGCTATTTGATAGGGAAAGGTGATAAATTTTACCTTTACCTTTGGACTACGAACTATGAATAAGATTTTTAGGTTAGATTTAGGTTCCAAAATTGAATCAAGATGATTTCTATTTCAAAAAATTTTGTCGCTGGCACGCTATCCTCAATTATATTCTTGATATAGAGTAATTTTCCGATTGCATGTTACTGGTCCATTTACAAATCTCGAAGTTGTACGTCATCCTATTTCAAGCCGATTATCAAAATTATTAACAACTTTTTTGTTGATAAAAGTCCGTCTTTTTTTAATTTAGAGAGATTTGCTAAATAATATTAAATTCTCCAAGCGAGTGTGTAGCTCATACCCTAGAGAAAGATTGTGCTTATTCGGTTGAATTAATAGATAAACTCCATTTGTTTAAAAAAAGTTTATTTAGTACTTACAATATAATTATTATACAATACATATACATTCTTAACACTACATGAACAAATACTAATTCTATGATATTTAAAATCAGTGAGGCTTATAATCCAGCTTGGGTACTTTACCTACTGGAAATTCTAAATTAATTATAGTTAGAGAAATTACATTAATTTTAACATAAACTTTCATTAGAAAGTCTTGTTTCACATAGCCTTTAACGTAAACAGTATCAATGTGTTTTAAATTGTCCTGAAGCACTTGATTAAGTTGCCCATAGTTTACACAGCCTGTATTGTATGGAACACCATAAATATTGTGGGATACATAGTTGTCTTCTTTCTTCTAGGCCTCATTCAAATCAGGATTTAGAATTTTTGGTTCAAATACCGTCATGAAAAGCCAATTCTTTAACTTGAGAATCAGTAGAAAAGTAGCCTTGAGCAAAGTCGGCTTTGTATCTTGAACCAATAGTTTTGTTCTCTGCGTAAGCTATGTCGTGAATCTCACAGGCCGAGTCAAGAGGGTTGATTCCTTGCTCGCCTCTTGCGATTCTTTCCCGGAGAAGCATTCCGGGCCCGCAGAACTGGTATCCGCTAGGTAAATGAAGCTCGAAAGGTAATTTACTTATCAATTAAAGTATTCACAATTCCTCTGCAAGTCTCTACAAGTGTAGTGGTAAGCGGATCTGTGTCGTGTTGGCTTTGCAATCGAAATAAATAATTAGGTCAAGTACTGCCGGTCTTATAAATCAAGTTTACTATGAAAATAATTGAATCGGAGCACTAGCTCCTCGTAGATAATTTGGATAACGTAGTGAGGTCGAAGGTTGATGGGAAGGAGGAGTTCCGATGACCATGGCTCCCTGTTCTCGTCTACCATAAGGGCTCTGCTAGTAGGTCCTTCAGCGTGTGGAAAAACCAGTCTTCTAATTGGATCGATAACTCACCCCGAGAGCTTATTTTTCGAAAACATATATGTCTACGCCAAATCACTCATTCAACCAAAATACCAATTTCTACGCGACGTTATGGCACCAATAAAAGAAATCGGATATTATACTTACACCAGCAGTGGTAAAATCCTCGATCCTTCCGAAGCCAGAAGGGATTATGCTAATTTTATAATATTGTTTAGACAGGATGAAACAAATCTGAAGCATACTTTTACCGATCATGTTTCGCCAGACGTAACATTCAACCAGTTCTTGGAGATGTGCATGGAATGCTGGGAAGAAAACTATGGTTTTCTAGTTATTGACAGGGAAAGTAGTGCAGACAAGGGCAGATATCGCAAGAGATTCGATTACTATATAAGCCCGTGATTTCTAAAACTGTCTCCATGTTTATTGTGACCGCGTAGTATAGCGCTGTAAAAACCAGTAAACATGAGAGCTAGTGGTCAGGAAGAGATTAGTCTAAAGCGCAAGTTAATTGAAGCAACCGAGGCTGTGCGGAATAAGTACAAGGATTTAAAATACCTCCTGAGCATACGTGGGAATTTTGGAAACCATTGGAGATACAGGGTGGACCAAATGGGGAAAATTTGTTCATAATTTCTGAATACTTTATTAATGGTTAATTGCTTCTTCCGTTTAGAGCGTGGTTCACACCATAACCCTCTCTAAAGTAAACTAGCCGCGCTGTGCACAAAGTGACAACACCGCTTGGTGGTCCGAAATTCCGATTGATGGGTTTGTGGTGGACGGAATACGCCGGATTTTTTAATGTTTTTTAGTAATTTTTCAGCTGTAAACAATCAGGGCTGAAATTTTATAATTCAATTAACTTAAATCCACTACAATACGTGGATTACATACGGTAAGCGTGTTTGGTATTAAATAAAATTGTATAAAGCATTTTAAGGTTATGTTTTGAATGGGAAACTTGGAATACTCTGTTTGGTTTTTGTTCATTTTACATAATTATAGTTTATTTTAGATGCCTCGACGGTGCTGTATTCCTGGATGTAAGTCCAATCACGATTCTGCCCTGAAAGTGTCAAACAACAAATGCATATCAACATTTGCTTCTCCCACAGATAAGCTTAAGAGTGAAGAAAGGTTGAAACCCGTTCCAAGAAAAAAAGTGGACTTCTTCCAAGAGTAATGTAGGGTGTGCCAAGCATTTTTATGACTCTGACAAGTTTGACAACTTATCCAAATATCTATCGTCTAAACCAGCCAAAAAAAAGACTTAACTCAGAAGAACGTTGGTCCGGTGCAAGGTTGTTTGAGAGAGGTAGGTTGCCTGATAACTTTATGACGTCATCTAGGGGGTCTCAACATAATGCAAATCTCCACAAGACACCCCAGACGCGTCATCGTGATACCCATTACCAGGCAACCTATGTGCTTTAGGATCCTTGGGTCCGGTGCTAGTTAATTTACGTATCACCTGTCACCAATGTCACCGCTCATCATGGGGTTAGCGCAAGATTGTTTGAAAGTGGTAAGTTGCCTGATAACTTTTATGACGCCATGTGGGGTGTTTCAACATAATGCAAATCTCTATAAGGCATCCCAGATGACGTCATCAAGTTACCCATCACCAGACAACCTATTAACTTCGGGTTAGTGAACTGCGAATTGAGGTATCTCTTTTTACCTTGACTGCGCGCGCAGCTAGAGGTCGCAAGTGAGCGTCCAATGAGAAGGGAGTTTATTATGGGTTTACGTCATATTTGCATTCAGGAGCGAGTTTAGTAGTAATTGTTCCTTCTTTCTTTTTAACATGTGATTCATCAAAGAGCAAACTAATAATTCACTTTATTCCTTCTGAACTCATCGCAGTGATGTTTGAGTTTATGTTATATTTCTACTTGATATCAAGTTTCCTAAAGTTGATAGGTTATCTGGTAATGGGAAACAGATGATGCCATCTAGGGTGCCTAATGAAGATTTGCTTATGTTTGGGCACCCCTGATGACGTAATAAAAGTTGTCAGGAAACCTACCTCTTTCAAGCAACCTTGACTTGATATATTCCTTCCCACTTTCATTGTTCAATGACGTCATCTGCAACAATAAAATCTGGCTACACTGCAACCCACTAGTTGCCCGCGCATGTCGTGTTTTATTACTTCCTAACTTGTAATTATAACAAGCTGCTATATTAAAATTTATGCGAGAGAGAGGTCAATTAGGGCATATTTAGAAATAATTTAGAACCTTCTTAAAAAGTGTGAGTGGTGCGGGGAGACGGCGGGGACGCTGCGAGACGCGCAGATTGGGAGACGTGCCAGACTGGTAAAAAGCTGAATTATTGAATTTATTTAAATAACAGGAATTACTTCTAGCCGTGTGCCGTCCCTAAATAAAAAATGTCAGCGTTGGGCAAAAAGTCCGGAGCTTTTTATAGGAAAAGAAAGAAGCAAATGCTAATGGAGTCCGGTAAGCAGGCAAGAATTCTTGAAACGTTTATTGGACACAAAAAAAAGTGATGTCTCTGCTTCGCCGTTGGCATCTACTTCGGCTCAAGTAAACGAAATGGAATCTCCTGAGACTCTTGATCTCGCTCTTGAAGCTCTTGAGGAACCAGATCAAGTATCTGAAACTGAAGTTGAGGTAAATAAAGGTTTTGCAAATAGAGCTTTAGAAGGCAGTGGCATTATAGGATGGGGTTACTGTGCTCATGTGCTTCTATCCATAGAAGAGTGACCCACCACTGCAACAAGAATTAGCTAATAAATACTTCTTGAAATTCTAATACAAAATTACTTTTAGCTTAATTCAGGTGCCTTAGAATACCCCGAGAGTGATCCCAAAATTTTGTTCGACGAAGCTGACGCAGGAACATGGCCAATAAATATTAGCGACGAAATACGACAAATTATGGTTACCAAAGGCCCTATTCAAGTAAAAAATATTTCTTTTGTTGCTGACAATCGAAATAGAAAATTCAGTTCTACTTACTATGAAAGAAAACTACAAAATGGATCATTCATTCAGCGAGACTGGTTGGTATATAGCGTCTTCAAAAATGCAGCATATTGTTTTTGCTGCAGACTCTTTTCAAAGCTACCTAAATCTTCCTTGGCCAATTCTTCAGGGTACAAAGATTGGAAAAATCTATCTCTAAGATTGTCTGAACATGAGAAAGCAGTAAGTCATACTATTTTTGGAATGAACTGAAACTGCGATTGAGTTTGAATAAAACAATTGATATTGAAAATCAAAAACTGATTTGGAAGGAAACAGAGCATTGGAGGGAAGTTTTGAAAAGGCTTTTATATATTATACAATTTCTCAGTAAACAAGGGTTGGCATTTCGTGGCTCCAGTGACAAGCTTTTTGAGTCAAACAACGGAAATTTTTTGCAACTTGTAGAGTGTATATCCAAGTTTGACAACATTATGAATGAACATTTACATAGAATTTCAAACCAAAAATCTCGAATTCACTATTTGAGTAAAACAGTTCAAAATGAATTTATACAGATATTGGGCGACCGCATACAACATGAAATTATCTCTCGTATAAAAAAGGCTCGTTATTTCTCTATAATTTTAGATTGCACACCAGACGTGTCTCATATAGAACAAATGTCTATTATTATAAGGTATGTTACCACTGAAGCCCTTACAGAAATAAATACAGAAGAAAAATTTTTAAAATTTCTACCGGTTGAAGATACAACAGGACAAGGTTTATTTAATGTAATTACACTAATTACCAAAGAACTTGAAAAATTGGATTTAGATATAAATAACCTTAGGGGCCAAGGATACGACAACGGTTCAAATATGAAGGGCAAAAATTTAGGTCTCCAAAAAAAGATGTTGGAGATTTGTCCTCGAGCATTTTACGTTCCATGCAATTGCCACTCCCTTAATTTGGTCCTGAATGATGCTGCACTTTGTTCATCAGACGTAATATCATTTTTTGGCGTTATACAAGAGGTTTACAATTTTTTTTCGGGATCTACTCATAGATGGAGTATTCTTAAAGACAACATTTCTAACTTAACTGTTAAACCTTTATGTACAACCCGATGGGAAAGCAGGATTGATGCTGTGATTCCTTTTCGATACCACATTGGGGAGATATATGATGCTCTTTGCCAGGCAAGTGTGGACAGCAAACTGGATGGCTTTGCTAAAAACCAGGCAAAAAGCTTGGCAACTAAATTGAAGGATTTTAAATTTATATCCAGTGTAATAGTTTGGTATGAAGTTTTGCATAGGATAAATTTGGTAAGCAAGCTTTTACAATCGAAAACTTCTGACATACCGTTAACAGTGGACATGATCCAGAGTATTAAAAAACAGTTGGAGGATTTTCGGAGTGAAGAAGGATTTCAGTCTATAATAACTGACGCCAAAGAACTTGCAGAGCAACTGGAAATCGATCCCACATTTACGAAGGAGACTGTTGTGCGACCCAGAAAAAAAAAGCGCACATTTCAGTACGAGTGTGAAGACGAGCCCCTAGTGGATTCCGAGAAATCATTCAAAATAAATTTCTTTTTTTTTATCTTAGATACTGCAATTAACTCACTCTCTGAGCGATTTATACAGTTAAAAGAGCACAGCGATGTCTTCAATTTTCTTTACGATATTTCAAAACCTTTTCAACAAAAAAGTTTACTGGAAAATTGTAAGAAATTAGCAACTGCACTAACCGCTGGCGATAGTTTTGATATTGAGCCTAAGGAACTATACCAAGAGATATTAGTTCTCTCTGGCATAATAAAAATTCAAAAAATCGGAACGTCATTAACGCCAAGAAATGTGATGAATTTCTTGTCGAAAAAAAATATGATAGGTTCCTTACCAAATTTAGACGTCAGAAGAACTGAAATAAAATATTGCCAAAGTTTACAATATTGCCTTATGTTATTTCTTATCTTAATTTATTTCCTGTATAAACCAGTCTTTAGTGTTGATCATTCAATTAGTTTTAAGAAATTATTTTTGTATTTAGTTAATTTGGAAATTACATATATTTTGAATGTACAACATAATATGTATGATGTAACGGACGTCGGGTCTTCAAAGACATGTTCAAAAAAATCATAGTCATCTTTGATTTAAGTTTTTTTTTGAAGACCAGTTACTTATTTAGAAAAATAAAGTTACTTTTTTTGTTTTATTTTTCTAGTCTCTTAATGATAGCACGATATCCTAAAATTAAAATTGATTATTTATCATATTGCTCTTTGATTTTCTTGACGACACAATTTGAAAGGTAGGGGGGGAGCGCTAGAATTGAACTTTGCCTCGGCATAAAAAAGCTATTGAACCGGCCCTGGATCCCCAGAAAAAAATATTTTTGTAGAATTAGGCCTGTACATTTTTGTTTCTTGCTTCGTTATTACATTGTGCTCTTTGCTGCGTTGAAAATTGTTTGAGGTGATGGCTACCGGATCTTCGGAATTACTTACGACCATTGCTTTAATTGTGTCGAAATTAACAAGCTGCGAAGCACTGTAATTCAAAGAAATGCCTTTAACTTTATAAACCACTTTTTCTTGTTTTTCCTCGACTATACATATAGCTTGTAGGCATAATTTTTAAGTCCACCACAGACAAATTCTTTGATTTGTATTGAAGTAAACGAAGGACCATTCACGTATTCACGAAATGAAATCACTGTCAAATTTAATTATTAAACTTTTAATCCAAAAACCAAAGTTTGTAGAAAGCGTCACTTAACTTAGCGTGGAAAAATAATAAGTGTACTGTAAAAAACAATAATTATTTTTAAAATTATCGGACAAAACGGTTAAACGGTATAAAATAAAAAATCGATCAATAATTGTGTCTCTTGACGTCACGGATCAATAATAAAGACTGTTCTTCTCGTCCCGTGTTGCTAACTCTTCGCTCCACGCTACTGTGTTCTGTCACTTTTGTCGGGGTTGCCGGTACATATAATTTTATTGATTTGAAGGGAGCATATTGTTAGCGCGAACAACTTCCAGTACCATATCCTTCCAATTCCTCTGTCAGGCCGCCGATAAAACCGCCAGTAATTGGCTCAAATTCGCCTTCTTTGTGCGAAAGAATAACTGAATCCGTGTCGTAGTAGAGTACCCGCATCTCTAGCAATGCCAGATAGCTGTGGAGTTTAGGCCGGGCCTGTGCAGTTGTGTAAGCAGCAATTCACACATTTACAAAAGATAACGGCTGCGCGGCTTCGTCAATGAATTCCCAATTAGCTACAACTAGCTTCTCATTTATTCGTACGATTGAGTTGACGGTTTTGCAGGAGTTATTCAGCAGCTAAAACATCTCGGCAGGCTTGTTTATGATCAAAGTTTTCCTGATGTTCTCTCTGAGTCCAAATTTTTCCCAAAACGAGTTTAGCATTAGCTTGGCTAAGGCTCTCAAGCCTGGGTTATTTAATTTTTTTTTCTTCAAATTCCAGTTTAACCCCTCTCTGCAAAAAAATCCTAATATATTGGTCTTTTTCTTCTTGAGTCGAACAATTTTCAGGCCATCCCGATGCTTCCTGTTTGACTTTAATAAATTTATCCATCATATCTGTGAACAGACCTGCCGTGTTTGTTTCTCGGTTAAATTGAACCACCTTATAACGCCAAATTTTATAAACCTCCAATATTTTATAGCCTTTTTCGAGGGCTTTTAAAACTTCGTCGATGACCCAAGTTCCAGTTATTGCACGGTCTTTTTCATTATGTCCACATTCTTCTTCTTTATTCATGGTTTCTCCACATTTATTACGTAAAACAAACATAAGTTTGTTGTTCATCTTCTGTTTCTTGCAACATCAGTTTTGTGCAATCTCCTCCCACGAAAATGTCCGGGTGACCGATGGGAAATTTTCCGTACTTGCAAACCCAGGGGTAAAACCGTGAGATTTTTTTTTCTTTAACACCCCCACAGAGGCGCGCGGTTTAATTTTTACATCGACTTCTCCACTATGTTTCGTTCGCAGTCGATGGGAGAGACGATTAGGTTATGGGCTTGATACCTAATTGAGCTAATTTTTAGAGTTTGATAGTTGAGATAATTTTTAGCGTTTTTTTTTTTTGTTCGATATTGCTAAATTGTCTCATCTATTTCATTTCAGTAGGTAAGTTTTGTATTTTTTATTTTTTTGCTGGACTACGGACTGACCACGGAGTGTACCTACAACGCTGCATTGAAAAAAACCACTGAAATAGTTGAAAGCTATTAGGGGCTTCATTAATAAAAAAAGACTCGACATTTATCATAATCTTGATTGTGTTAAGAGAAAACAATAAAAAATGGACGGATAAGTAAATTCCTCAATTAATTCTGTAGAGTAGAAAATGTATTTCGTCAATTTATCTAGAGTCTAAAAGGATGATTTTCACTTGAAAATATTTAGTAAAAATCCCCCAGCAGGCCCCACACTTTTCAAAACCTTATATTTTGATTTCAGCATTATGATAATATACTGTTATCTGTGTTTCGTGTGCTGATGGAGCGCATTTTAACCTGTCCCTGCGGCAGAGGTATTTGCGCTGGGTGCTTCGCCAGTAGACAGATATGTAGCGTCTGTTATGGACCCTTCACGGCAACCGCTATATTTCGGATGAGGGGAGATCTCTTAAGGGGTTTGAGTGCCAGAGCCTTTCGGGTAAGCAATTTCCAAAAATACTTTATTGTCCTTGATAATATTTGTTTTGTTTTTTCTACAAGAACAGGTATGCGGCCTTATCAGCAGACCGGTAGGCATGGAATGGCCAATAGTAAGTTTTACAACAAAATGAAACCAAATTCATGTTTTGGAATAATCTTATCATTTCTGTCTAAATTTGCAGAACATCTATCTCCAAATTGATGATAGACTCCGTGCCAGGCACGTGCTGCTGCTGCCGTGGCTGCTCCTGCTGTCAAGAACACCTGGAACTGATCAACAGACGGGATCTCGACATCGAGCAGGATTTAGAGCTGTTGGGGTCGGATTCGGATCGATCATCCGATTCCTTCGAGTTTTTTATGCTTGCCGTGGTGCCGCAACAAGAACAGCCCGTTCCCGGCGAGGAAGACGCTGGAGATAATGGTATGGACGAACAGGATGAGGAGAGCTTAGACGCGGTAAACTAGATTGTTTAAATTAATATTTTAACCTTTTTTCCATAATTACAACGCAGTTATTATATTATTATGTATAACATAGTTTAAATTAAAAATCAACTTTTCACTGTTTATTATAATTAACTACAAATTCTCCTATTCTTTATTGGTATCTAATGCCATTTGAGAGAGAAGATTTTACAAAATAGATTAGCAATGGCAAAACAATCGCCCGACGCCGTGGGTAATTTGGTAAAAGAAACATCAGGATATGTTAGTAGAGTGTAGAGAAGTACTCTATATTGCTATGTGCAGAGCTGTTGTCGTAGACTATCAAAAGACTTCAAAATGCTATCAAGAACTTCCCGTGATCTATCTGAACAGATCACTAGACAGAACTGCTATTACACACATCCTAGTTGAACACGGAACCAAAGTAGAATGTCATTGTCAACCACTACTTCTAGTGAATTTCAAGTTGGAAAATAACTGGTTAGAAGTTACATCTGACCTAAAGCGGACCACCGAAGCTTTAGAATTAGATGCCAATGATGGAGAAGACAAACTATCAATGCCAAGGATTTCCATTTCTCCTATCAGTTCCAATGGAATTTCTTCCAAGGAAGATATGGAAAGTTTCCAGCAAACTCTCTTATATCCAAATACCAGAAAAGCAGTAACTAATCAAGTAGCCCGAAGGATCATAGCCCTCGATAGCTCAGACCCCTATTACATGCCAAATTTGTTTAGTACAACCGAATTTACAAATATAGCACAATCCGCTGTCGGGGAAGTGTGGAGGTTTTTATCTAGAATGGGAAATTTATTTTCCATCTGTGGGTTCCTGTACACCATAGTTTGCGCAGTTAGTTATTTGGCCGGTGTCGTATCAAACTATTTCACCATCAAAGAAGCAACAGTTAACCATCCACGATGACGACGATACCTTTTAGCCAGTCTGTGGAATACTTTAGCCCATACATATTTGTATCAGTTAGCCAACCAAAGAAGAGATTGTGAAGAAGAAGACCAGAAGATTGAATTGATCCAGTGTCAGTTAATGCTACTGCCCCCCAGGAACAATCAAACAGTTCGTTGTATCCAGGACTGCCTAAGTATGCCGTGCCGTGTAGTGATCCTAACTGTAAAGTGAACGACGGCAAAAATAATCCGCGTGACCCATAGTTCGCGAGTGTGTGCGCTCGTTACTACGTATTAATTGTCGGGATGTGGTGTTGTATCTTGGAGCATTTGGTCATGAGTGATCATGTTGATGTTGTTCATTATTGTTTCGAGGTCTACAAACATGCTTCGAACTTAAGGGGAGGGTAATTTGTAACCAAATACAATACAATATAAAATGTCTTTATTGAGGATAAAAATCAATAGCAACTTTATATTCCCGGTTCAAGGTCATCTTTCGTGGAAACAGTTTCATTTTTATAGATAGCTAAAACGTGACCCTGATGGAATTTACAAACATATGGAGTTCTGCGAATGGCCTAATATGTGCGAGGGTGAAAAACACTTGAAAGCCAGAAAAGTATCGAATTTTATAGCTTCAAGATTATTATTGCTGTAACCCAAAATTGACAAATATATGCGCAAAACTTATGTTTTCCGAGATAAACACTAAACTTTAAACTAATCTCTCGACTGAACCAGATCCCATGTGGTTGTTATAATTTATTCAAAGTCAAGGATAATCTCTGATCCACGTTTCATGATGAAACCAGATGTCAGATAACTGATAGCGCTGTACAGCATGATGTATTATATTCGAAGTTTATGTGTGTGTGGCGAAGCAATAATTACATGAGCTGGATTTTTACGATGCTATAACCAATTATATAACAATATAATTATCAAGGATTATTACTAGGGTGAAAAGGTTAACTGTAAGATAGTCAAATGCTTAGTTATAATTAAGATATAGGTAGGTTAAGATAAGAGTGATTGCTCAATTATTTTATTATTATATTAATAGAGGATAGTTTAGTTCATTTCATACCGTTGATAATTAGGTTAGAAATTGGGGAACTTTTATTTTATTCACTCGACTAGGTTAGAAATTAAGAAATAAGAATAGAAAGCATATTAGGTAATTAGAAAAGGGAAAGGGTTTCAATTAAAAGGAAAAACATTAAAGGTTCAATTAATAACTTGACCGCATGTAACTAGCGAGCTCTGTTGGAGAGCCATCAAACTGGATCACAGGGTGGAGCCCTTTGGATGGGGAAGGTTGAATAAGCTTAAGAACCAATGGGAACACGACAAGAAACCAAAGGGTACTTTCAGCGAATCGCTGAAAGTTAAGAGGGCTTCGAGATCCTCGACTTTGTTGATTCTTGCAAGCGCGGTACTAAGGGATAGCCAATGGCCTTCCAAAGTGGTACCTAGAGGGTGGTTCCTTCCGCTTATTTAAGCAGATGTTGAGGCCAGTTAACTTAAGTTATCGCCAATTCACTAGTTTTTACTACAAGTTATCGCCGGAAATTCAAGTCGCAAAGTCTCAACGAGTTCTCGATTCGTTTCTCATCATCTAGTTCATCTGCCGCCCGGTGTTTTAGTAAAAGCTCTCCAAAGAGGTGATAGTTATTTTTTTTAATTTCAATTCCAATAAAGTATCAGATTTGGGAACTAAACCTTTTAATCGGAAAATTACTATTTTCTTTCAATTATCTTTAATTTTTCTTTGGTCAAAAATTGTTTATTGTCTAATTAAATAAGGTAATTTTTTTCTTCAGTTTTTTTTATATTTTACTTTACTTTTTTTTATCACTAAATAATTAACGCTCACTTTTTTTTTCACTTATAAATAAATTAGTTTTAATCGTTCAAAATTAGTCTTTGTTTTTCTGGTTTTGAAATGCCCTTCAAAACACTAGTGGTCGCGTAGAAAGATCTTACGTACCGGTTGTGTGCAGTTAAAGAAGATGTTTCCAGCTCCAGCAGAAAAGTGGTAAATGGTGAAGTATAACCATTATTAATGGAAACTTCATAAAAAAGGCGGCTCAGTCGATCTCTTTAAAGTCACGTGGGAATCCATAGGCGTCGAAATATTACCATTATGACAAATGAAAACAAATTGGTTGATAAAGATTTGTCGTCTACCGTGTTCGCGGGTCTATTTACGTAATTTATTAATATGTACAAAATAAAATTCACTTTTTTCTTTTCGAAACGAAAACTACCCCACAAATCTCGTTATTAAACTAAACTCAAACTCATAAGTATTTATATTCGAAAACATACTCCAGATATTTCCATAAAAACTGAAATGACGAACGCCTTTGCCCGGAAATTCCAGCTGATTTACTTTTAAAAACAGTTTAGTTAATACATCAAATACATGGACAAAATTTATAAAGTAGGTAATCCTAAAAATTCCGTTTTAAACTATTGAAGTAAATCAAAATATAAATATTTTAATGGCAATATTATTCCTTCAATAAAAATTCAAATTTGAAATCGATTTTTATTTAATTATCTGCGTAATTTTATGCGTTGGTCCACTTCTAAAGAGATATCTCACACTGTCAATAAGAACGGCTGCTTTGTCGGCATGGAATAAAGCCCAGCGGCATTGCCGGCACTTTTCAAGTTTTTTTTTGCCGGCGTGCGGTGTCTTTGATATAGTGTACCAGGACCAGACATAAAAATATAGAAATAATTTCAAAGGGGTATAGGGGTATTTTTATAAATTTGAGCAGTCACCATAAAGATGCGATTTTCAATTGGTATTGGAAATACTATAATCATTTTGAGTCTCTAATAACACCTTTTAATAACCACCCCAAGAAGAAAAGACAGATTTCCGGTTCAAAAAACTGTTATTTACTGCTTCAGATCAAATTTACTTTTCAGCATAATTTACCACGAAATTTTATGATGTGACAGAATTATTTACGTTACCAAAATATCAATTCTTACATAACATCTCAATTTTGTCATAAAACAACTTTTATGAAGCCCCTTGTGAAACTTCAGTAATAAATATCTTTGAAATTTCTAATAGAAACCCCAATTTAGAAATGTGGAGTATAATGGAAGTACAGTTTAAGTATGCGAAGCTTGATTATCAAGATAAATTTGTAGTCTTCTCTCATGTCACACAGTTTGATTTTAATCATTCAAGTTACAATTCACTAATAATGAATTAACTGATCAATTTAAATTATTTTTTTTATTTTTTTTGAATTCAAGTTAGTATCAATTTTGTGAATTAGTATTTTTTTCTAGATAAATTACATCAGACCTATGTAAATTATTTTCTTCGGAATATTCTCTTATTGCCTTTTAATCCGGCATCTTTTCATATATTTTTTATATTTTATTATTTTATGTCTTATGTTATGTGATTATACCTAAATGTTATGACTAAATGAGTGTGTTTTTGAAAAGATTATTTTGACTTTTGATTGTTTTCTTATCTTTTTTTTATATTATAATTATAATGATAGTTTTGAAGGTTGACATTTTTATTAATAGTAACGTTCTAAATGCCTTAATTGCATTAATAAAATTTTGAATTTGAATACCACTTGTGCTTTTAGGTTTTTCGTGGGAAATTTAAAAAAAAATCGTTGAAAATTTTGGAATAAACACTCATAATATCACTAGGCCAAACCATTCTCCAAATTGTTTTTTTTTCTTATATAAAGATATTCAATTTCACTGGTTCTATAAATTGAACATTTCTTTTCTGTAAAATTGTATAAGCAAGTGAAGAAACTTTATATTTCAAAATAGAGCAAAAATGTCAACATGGACAATTGCGAAATTTGCCGAAGACAATTCAGTGGCCGCAGTTCCAACAAAATGGATTAACAATGCGGAGTGTGTCAGGCCTCCATTTCCTCCTCATAACATAAATGCGGCGATTACGAACCAAGCAAATGCGGATCCACATTGGCCTGCATATAAAGTGCACATCATGCTACCTACGATATAATAACTATAATATTTTACATACCTTCTTTTTTGTAATGGCTTTCTAGTGTTTTTTTTTTTTTTTTGTTTTTTTTTGTTTTGTTGTTTTTTTTCTTAGCAGTTTTCTATTGTGGGAGTTCAATTTAAATAAGATAGTTTTTTAACGATTTATTTAACTTATATTTAGAATCATATGCAAAAACTCGCCGTAAAGCTAAATTAGCTGAAGATACAAGCGTTTGGGAACAACCACCGAAAATGAAGAAGACTCCCAAAAAAAAGGAGGACAATAAAAAAAAAGCAAAGCAGCTCAAACAGTAATGGTACTGAGAATGATAATGCCGGTCCCAGTCAACTACCACCACATCCAACTTTATGTAAGTAATTTGAGCCTGTATTATTACATAATATTGTCAATATTTCTATTTTATTTTAGACCCTCTGCGGTAAAATTAAATCCATGTGCAAATTTGCAAAAAGATGGTAAGTTTTTTCAAAAATCTAAAAACGTTCATTATTATCAAAGCAATTTTAATTTTTAAGAATTTTCCTCCGACGACAGCGACGCACCTTTGGCAAGTGATAAAAAAAGAAGGGTCTCACTAGTTTCAGCTAATGTTATTGGGGAGGAGGAAATTGAGACCGTTTCATATCAATCCAAAAAGAAGACTGCTACATCATCTCAGCCTGTAACTCCATTAGTAACTTGCTCAGTGACTCTTTCGGTGACTCCCTCGGTGACTCCCTCGGCGACTCCCTTGGCAACTCCCACGATAACTACATCTTCGCATCGCCTGACCATTTCGCCTCAATCCACAAAGAAGACGGCTACATCATCTCAGCCTGTAACTCCGTCAGTAATTCCCTCGGTGATTCCTTCGCTGACACCCCTGGCAACTCCTACAGTAACTCCAATTTCGGGTCGCCTGATTGGTAAGATATTATAATTATTCGAAAAACTTTTGCCATCTAGATGAAGTTTTAAAAATATAAACGTGAAAACTTGAAATCTTTTTTCCAGAAATTGCAACTCCTGGTTGTTCGAATGAAAAGCCCTGCACCTGTTGCCCTAGACACGGTGAGTGTTTTTACATAGCCACACATAAATAATGATAGTTTGAAATATGTATTGAACTTTTTTTTTCAATTTAGCTAGCGAAGTTAGAGATATACTCAGACATTTTTTTTTCCTGAGGAGCATTACAACAGCAGCCACGCAGCAGCCTTTTGAAACATGCGTTGACTAGAGTTTGACGCATTTTTATTTAGTGGTGTATCTGCCTCCAGAGGGCTATTACCAGAAAACTACCAAAAACGTCTGGAGATATTGACAGCAGTTCATTAACGGTCCATACTGAATCGCGAAAAAAACACACACACCCCTAATTTGTCTATTGTATTAGTTCATGGATCACCTTGTATAACATAAAAATTAGATTCCTTATTATTTCTAACATGTAATCCAGACGAAATTTACTTTCGAACGCCGGAAACCGCATCCAGATAAATAATTTTGAAAAAAAAAATAAGAACCAAAAAAAGAAAATGGAAAATTGAACGTATGCGCTACTTATGCTGTGCAGTGTATTTTCCTCCCTCCACCCGCCGCCCCAAACCCTAGCATGTCCCAATTTATGCTACTTTTCTAAAAATAACAAGTTGGTAGAGTAACAAATTATACTTTGATTTTAGATTCCTGATGATCTACTGCTATATATGCTTCATACGGATAGAGGGATTTTTGAGTTGCCCCTACGGACGGGGGATTTGCGGGGCCTGTTACGCTTTCAATCGACTTTGTCGATGGTGTTACGGGACCTTCACGGGAGCGATAGTCCTAAGGGAGCGGGGGCGCCTCTCGAGGAATATAGGGGATTTGGAATACAATGTAAGTGGCTTTTTCGAAATAATTTCAAGCCTTTGGAAATATATTTTTTCTCTACAGGTTCAGCATTGCGGTCATAGCAGTGGGCAATTAGCCATGGCATGGCCTATTGTAAGTTTCTCGACCGAATTTTTTTTTATAAGTTAATGAATCTATTTTTCCTGATCAAATTTACAGAACATCTACCTACAAATAGATGATAGGCTTCATGCTGGTGCCCGTGCTGCTGTTGCTGCTGCTGCCGCCGCTGCTCCGGCTGATGAGGATGGCTCGTCCACGGCATCGGAATTGGCTTATAACACCGACTCCGATGCAACCGATATCGTGAACAGCCTAGACAATCAGTTGGATCAGGATATAGAAGCAGTGGCGCCTGTGGTGGAGGAGGAGGAGGAGTTGAGTCTGGACGAGATGAGCTTGATTTTTCAAAACTATTCTTTCAATACTGCATAATTAGCAAACAATTAGTATACATAGTTCATACCGAGTTCAAATTGGAAATTCAACAATAATCAGACACGCTGAATCTTTCCTCAATTCAGCGAGGAAAGAGTGAGGCGTTACTCAATGCGTGCTTTCCCGCATATTCATTGATATTCTCTGTTGAAATAAAGCCTTTTCTTTCATTGTTTCTAATGTGAATGTAAAAACCTCCCTATTTTCGCAAGAGAATAAACGATTCAAAAGCCTGAAAGAATGCATTTTCTTATGTACCTATTTTCATCCAGCGACCCAAAGGGTCATAAAGATTCTAACCAGGTAGATTACAGTCAACTCGTTGACAAAACTTTGGTCCCACCAAGACCATCAAGAATGTTGATATTATGAAGGGTTGGGAATTTCTAACATAACAAAAAGCAACCCTAGGTTCGAGGCAGAGATTCTACCTGGTGGAGGGGCCGGATATCGGGATCGACAGTGCATTGTGAGATTTGGATCGACTCTGACCTACCACTCTACGTTAGTTGATACTTACGCTAGTGTATTTTTTCCTGAGCTAAAGCAGCTCATCTTGGTGTTTAAACAAACAATTGCAGCCCTCGTTAGGCTGTCAGGATTTAAACCGCTCTAATCTTGCTTGTGTGGTGAAGTGTTTTACGGACCTACTTGTCGGGTGTGAATTTTTCCCGCTCGTTTCCTGCGCTATCTCTTCGCTATCAACAAGGGCAAGGGCTATCAAGCCTTCATCTAATACATAGAATACAGAGTCGTATTCCTGTAAAGTGACGCCGCAATCAATCTGGTATGTAACTACCTTTAATGTACTATGAATAGTGTTCCTGCTGGGGCGACCTCTCCCTCGAGAGGTAGCATTCTATTACTCTCTTATTCTGGGTGTTCCTGCTGGGGCGACCTCTCCCTCGCGAGGTGGCATTCTATTACTATCTAATTCTGATGACATTCCCACTGGGGCGACCTCTCCCTCAGGAAGTGGCATTCTATTACTATCTAATTCTGATGGTATTTCTGCTGGGACGACCTCTCCCTCGAGAGGTCGCATTCTATCACTCTCTAGTTCTGGGTGTTCCTTATGGGACACTGTACAGACAGTACATATAGGATAACGACATGGGATGTTACCCAACATACAGACTTTTATCACTTCAGTATAATTTACGAAGGAACAGCCACCATTGGCCTTCAGACACTGATTTGATCACCTACGGAAATACCTAATTCTTTTATGTCGAAAAATCTTATAAACGAAGTATGAGCGCCATGTTTGCACAGACAGTTTATCGACGATGTCTTCTTCACCGAAAAATTTTGGAAAATCGACTGATATTGGTAACACTATTCCCGAATACTGTGTAGCCTCCCTAGTGAAAAATACTTTGGGCTACGTTGCGAAAGTAGCAGTTGTTTACCTAATGAAATGCGTAGCCGTACCAGTAGAGTTACGAAGAGAAACCCATAATTGCTATGTAGAGCTAGCAGTTACTGCTTATAACGAAAGTTATTTTATGTCACCAGTAACGAGAATAATGCAAAAACACGCCGAACAAACAGAGTGTAGTACCTTAATACCACCATTATACTATATAAATATTCAATGGATTGAATTCGCTCCAACTCCGCCAACAGGAATACTTCCTCAAGAGTTTGAGCCAGAAGCGGAGGAAAATTTTTCTTTCAGGTCAATCAAAGATTTGGTTTCAGGAGGTATCTATACCTACAATGAAATCAAAAAGGCACCAGAAGCCATGACCTTTGGATTGGGAAGGAACGCTTTAAACAATATGATCATAAGAAGGGTAGCCGGACAAGCAGTCCAGGATCAACGGTATTCTACCTTGAATTTATTTAGCAAGGAATAATTAGAAAATCTAGCTAACATAGCACTATTAAAAAATTGTACGGATATTTTATAATTTTGGGGGAATGGATCAGCGTAATTTACTTTATGATAAGAGCAATCAAATGCCATCGCGATCCACCGGTTGAACGGATGTTCCTCTCATTTGTTAGCCTCCTTCTGGGATACTCTTACTATATTATTGCGTCATCATAAACAAAATCAAGCGACCAAAGAAGTTATCAAGTTAACAGAAGTCACTGACAAAAATATTCCCTCGGAACAATATAATACAACGCCCTTACATATGGAATTAGGACAAGAAAGAATGCAGACACCTCTCGAGACACTCAGATTCAACCCTCAAACATCGCCACGCGCGTTCGCCAGTTTGAGAAAGGATTTGGAGAGACTTCCGCCAGTTAATTGGAATCTGTAGGACGAGAACGATAATATCAGTAAGTTTACGATCCCTTTTAGGAACTCTCTGAAGTTTTAAATTCGGGATAGCCAAAACAACACTTCACTTAATAAAATAAAGCGTCGGTATAAATGGTCTAGGACATAGTTTAGATTTAAAATCACTGCTGGCATTAGGGCAAATATTATAAATAAAGACGAACCGTCGATGGGGAGGAGCCTCTAAAGAGGTATAGTAAATTGTAGTTTATGAGAATTTATGGAAAATTAGGGATAGGGTTGCAGACAGGTACATCATTTTATTAAGTGCTTACTTAACTAAGTATGTGAAAATTTTACTTGTATCATGGGAACAAGTGTGACTACAAATATTAGAGACTTAATGAGCACAGGGATTAAGGTGAGGAATATAAAAAAGAACCAAACCACCCTTGGAAGATAGTCAGAACGAATATCGCGACGCGACAAAGACGTAATTTAATTATCAACTCGAGACTTAACATGGTAGTGTTCTCTAAGTACCTACCCTTGATTCAAAATCCAGTAGAGCGCCTTCGAATTATCGACACGGCACGAGAGATGTGTATTCAAGTCTACATGCACCTGGCAGGATGTCTCATCCCTACTATAGCGAACCTCGAGCTCTGGTTCTACTCTGGATTGAATTATTAGAGGTTGAGCAACACATCACCCGAGGATTGTTAGCCAATGCGGGAGGGTACAGTAACTGTACTGTGTGCCAACGGCAAAGAGCCCTCAGTTATCCAACCCCGGTACCACAAGGTTCCACTCTCAAAGTTGCCTCCGCGCCTCAAGACGGAGGAACCCGCAATCCGATACCTGAATACGAGAAAACAGCGGAAGTATTCCCGCAACATCCTCCACCTCTGCCTGTCAGAAATGCGTCTGTTGCTCCCTCAAGACGACAAGCTCGCCCCAGTCCCGTAGCTCCAGTACCCACCTTCAGAATCCGACCAGCAACGGTGATACCAACGGTGACCCTCGCGCCGTTAAACCGTTTCCGAAGACAACGGACAAGGGCTCCAACACCGGTGCCCAGGTTCAATGTTGTCCAACAAACGGGGCTGAGAATGCAGTTCCAAAGGGAGACACCTGAAACGTCCAAGGGGCTGTAAAAGGCCTTATAGACGTAGAGAATGTAGAGATAAGTATACATTTAAGTACTAAGATAAATTTAAGGTATATATCTCTTTGGACTAACATAAAATTAAGGTATATAACTGTTTGGACTAACATAGGATTTAAGGTATATATCAAGTACTAATACTAACATTATTGAAACTATCGATGTAGGTAGACAACATTTAAATTTGAGGTATATATTTGATACTAACGTAGAGCTAAGTTTAGCCTTCTAGGTAAATATCAATAGCCCATATAATCATAAAAGAAAGTAGAAGTAGTAATTTTTTTTTTTTTTTTGAGTGTACAATTATTTTTTCAATTAGGAAATATTTGATAACATGGCCACATTTAATAACATTAATTTCGCGAGAAAGAAGACATTATTATAATTTTTTTGAATATATGAAACCAATCGCTATTGTTAAACCATATTCCATAAATAAAAAACATCTTTGCATGCTATGTGATACGCGTAGTGACGAAATTAATCAATCGGGTTTTTGTAATATGTGTGTGAATCCGGTTGTGAAACAAGTGGTGCAGATTGCGCGAAATTTTTAAGAAGCACAAATGTTTAGAACTGCTCCTCGATCAATAATTTCACAGAGATGCAAAAACATTACTAGGAGAGTAGTTCTAGACGAATTTAGGGAGCCTCAATATGCAGCGATAGCCGAGATCTTACAAGAGCTTCTGGAGTGTTCGCTGAAATATTATTATACATAATAATTGGGGACTCCTAGGTTTTGTACAAAATGTTGAGAACCCCTGTGTTTTTGTTTGAAATTTCGTTTTTCCCAAAGCGAATGGAATGTGAAAAAAAGGGCTTCCACCTGTCCTTCTACCTTTCTCTACCTGGTTGAAAAAATATAAAAAAAATCTTGACCCTAAGATGGACCGGCCTTGGCTTCAAGAGAGTTTAATTCAGGGGTGTCTGGTGGGAGAAATTTGTTTTCGAAAAAACTTCTTCACAATTCTTATAGAGTTTAGGTCAGTTGTGAACAACATTTCTTCGTAGAGGATTTTTTTTTCAATTTCGCGCGATTAAAAAAAAATGGATTCGGTAGACGTCTCGGCTCAAGAATTTCTTAATGAAGGAGTCGTTTTTTGAGGACATTATTGACGAACTGTTGCAGATTCCAGCCCTCGAGGATGATGTTAATAGTTTTCCCAACGAGCTTGAACCATCGAACGATCTGCGACCCGTTGATGTTGTCGACGATGTTGAGGATCCGTTGAACGATGGCTGTGACGCGGAGTGCGATAAGGCGATGGCCAACTTCCTTCGTCAAGTTGAAAATTGGCAGCGGGGTGGACGGGAAAAAGTGCACGTGTTAACTAATGTCATCATTAGGCCGCGAATGGTGAGTAAGCTTGAGAACGCATTGACAATGCCTTCAAAAGTCGTTCGCAATAAGCGGATGTTTCACGAGGCGGTCGATGATGCAGATAAAGCAAGAAAAAAGGAGAAGAAACCCCGTCCCAATCATAACCGATGTTGAGGTAAAGGTAACCACACACGTACAGTTTTTCCTCAAGGTTTGGACTGCGCAGGCCAGGCCTTGAGAATTTCCTCAACGTGTGTGGCGAAATTCTTGAGGCCGCCGGTGGACTGTATAAGCCATAAAATCCTATTTGAAAAACATTTGTGAATAACTATGCAGACCTGCCTGAACAGGTCAAACTCAGCGTGTGTGGTAGCATATTAAGGTTAATTCATCAGTTTTCCGCTGTGCGTGTGCTGAAGCTGAACGAACCGAGACATGAACCGTCAATTTTTGGAAAATTTTATCAAAATATATGAAAGTGAGCCATGCCTTTGGCAAACGAAGTGTAAGGAATACCACGACCGAAATAAAAAAGATGCCGTAATTAAAAAAATAAATAACCTGAGAAGTGCATACAGAAAAGAAAATAAAAGAGTTAAGGATGCTTTGAAGTCAGCGTCAGCTGATGAAATTTATAAGCCGAAGTTGTGGTACTTTGGATTGTTAAAGTAAGTTTTTTTGGTGTATAATTTCGTCATTATTTAAATCATTATTTAATTTATTATGTATTAATTTAATTATTATGTTATAATTACTATAATTAATTATAATATATACAGGGTGGCCAATTGAAAACGAAACAGAGGTGATTTTGGGCTCCCCAAGACATTTAAGAAAAAACCCTCGTACCCGTCGATTTTTGATTTAAGGGGGAACCATTTTTCTGGTGGTTTTATCCCCTAGGGGGCAAAGCCCTAGCGGGGGTGACAAGGGCCCCCAAAATTTTAAATGGAATGAGGGGTCGAGTGATACCTTATTTTGAAGCTATTTTTATGTAGATTATAACCCCCGAGTCTTACATCGCTACTATGTACCTAGCCATTACAGGGGCTAATTAAAGTTACAAAAACATGTTAGAATATTTTTATTTAAAAAAATGCTTTAAAAACAAAATCAATCAAGTAAATGCTGAAAATGACCTCAGAAGAAAAAATCTAACGGGCTTAAATCTGGAGAACACGGGGGCCTCTCCTTCGAATCCATTGTCCTGGAAACCTTTGGTCCAAATATTGACGAATCACTGCAGCATAGTGGGGTGGCGCACCATTTTGTTGGAATATTAGACGGTTTTCCATGTATCCGTTATCATTCTCTAGTATCTTCACCAATTCTGGATGAATCGCATCTTCTTATCACTCTAGGTACATTGCTCCTGTTAAATTTATAGGTAAAGGAGGGGTCTATTATACGGTTACCAAAAATGCTAGCCTAAACACTCAATTTCTCGGGATGTTGCGTATGTACCTCACGAAATATGTTTTCTGGGATTTGAATTAGCCCAATAGCGGCAGTTGAGACGATTCACCGCACCGTTCAAGAAAAAAGGAGCATTCATCAGAGAAATATACAAACTGCTGCTCCATTTATTGAAAAAAAATAATTGGGTTATGAGTTTTTCAATGGTGAGGGAGGAGCGTCAAAAGGGGGTTAGTAGCACATCAACCAAAATACCATTTAATTATACTCCATTATTTAATACAATTTTTTTATATTCAATACAATATTTATTTAATACAATATTTCCAGGTGTACATACAATATTTTCAGGTATAATACGTACGAAATAACGTCCTAGGGCATTATGAAGATGTAGATTATTTGAGTGTTTGGGCTAGCATTTTTGATAACAGTAAATAGGCCCCTTTCTTACCTATAAATTTAACAGGAGAAATGTACCTAGAGTGGTTAGGAGTTGCGATTCATCCAGAATTGGTGGAGATACTAGAGAATGATAACAGATGCATACACTAATATTCCAACAAGATTGTGCGTCATCCCATTATGCTGCAGTGGCTCGTCAATATTGAGTGGCCCCCGCGTTCTCCAGATTTAAGCCCGTTAGATTTTTTCTTCTGAGGTCATTTTCAGCATTTACTTGATTGATTTTGTTTTTAAAGCATTTTTTTAA